CGGAATTCAATTTCGGGGTCATTTTAAATTAACCGGGGTCGGGTTTTGGATTTTTAATTTTGGGGGCATGTATAATCTAGTCAGATATATTTGAATTTATAAATTATAAACAGAAATAAATCATCATCGTTACAATGTAATAACTTTTTATTTTAATAAGTAAAATATCGAATACTGCATTATGTAAGTTGAAAGATAAGAAGATTGTACATTTCCTGTAAAAATTTCAGACCTATATCATCAAAATTGAGCAAATTATGAGTGATTAAATTTTGAACGGAAATAATTCATCGTATTCGAAAATAACCATTTATAATTTGCTCAATTTTGATGAAATAGGTCTAAAATTTTTACAGGAGATGCACAAACTTCTTATATTTCTACTTACTTAATGTAGTAGTTGACATTTACTTAGTAAAATAAAAAGTTATTACGTTGTAATGATGATAAATTATTTCCGTTTTGTAATTTATAAATTCTGATATAGGCGAATATATCTGAATAAATTCATATGCAAATATATGTGGATATATGCGGATATATCCGAATAAATTCGTGTGAATATATTCAGATAAATTCGCATATCAGATAAACTCACATAAATTCGCAATATATCCGGATATATGCAAATATATTTGGATAAATTCACAAATATATCTGAATATATCCAGATATATGTGGATATTTAATGTGGATAAATGTGGGGGTGGTCAAATATATTCGAATTAATTTAAGGCAAATATATCTGGATATATTTGCTATTAAAAATTTCCTGATGAGATATAACTGGTAAAATCTTATTCTGCATTAAGAATTTCTAAATTAAGTTGGGACGAGATCGATACTATAGAAGAAAAGTTTGAATAGAGATAATCGTCATTTACTGTGCCAAGACACGAGACTTTGCTGATCGACTCGGTCAAGAAATTCATAAATTATTTCATAATGCAGCCCAGTATCTTTAACACATAAAATTATAGGCACTTTGTACTGCGAATCAATAAATTTTTCAATGTATTTTTTTAGTTATACTAAAGGCTTTGCTATTTCATAATCTGTATGCATATGACATAGAGCTCCAAGGGAGCAACCCATGTGATCGTGAGAAAATGGTTTTATTATGTATATATGTATATATCAGTTTTACTAATTATTTATCGCAATAGTGAATTCCCATATTTCACGAATCTGTGCATGTGATACATTATATTTTTTAGCTAGAATCGGTAATACATTTGTTGTATCCTTAGTAGTAATTATATTGCTAATTGCTTTAGGTGATAAGTGTGTAGCACCTGATCTTAATCTTCTAAACATTTTAAGTGTCACAAACACTAACTCCGCTATATACGCAAAAAATAAGTTAATTTATTGTTATATATATATATGGTTGACAATAATAAATTTTTCAGAAAAAATATGCGCTGATTAGATGATCTGATTTTTTATCTTTGCCTCTCGGAAAAAAGATAAATATATTATCTGACTTTTTTGACTTCAAGTAAGCTTGACCACAAGAAGGTAGGATCATCACTTAACTCTAGTAAAGTTTTTTTTTGTCGACTTGTCACGGTTTTGTGAATCTGATCGTTGACTGAGATTTATGCATGTAATCATGGGAAAATGATTTATGGTTGTAATATATGCATTGTTGAAGTCAACTTATGCTTTTATACTAACTATATAGATTATACATGTTCCCAAAATTGATTTTGATTTTTGAGATATTTTGACTTTTTGAGATTTATGCAAAATCTATTCTATATATATAGAAATAAAAAAAGTATCTAGTTATATGTATCTTTAATCAAAGAATAAATCTGGGTGGTCAAAAAATTTTGGGTTTTAAGTAAAATAATTTCGTCTTCTATGAAAAACTATTTCGACTTTTTTCTCCAAAATTGCAATTTCGGGGCCTCAAAATAATTTTTCGTGCAAGTATAATATGAATTGAATTCTGATATTTATTTATATAGCAATAAAGATGATAAGCCTTTTCACTGCAAAATTCACCACTACCCCAAAAATCCTCTATATGATTTCTTATATTTTCTTTTTTATGGTTTTTATTATATATAGGGCAGGATATAGAACTGTTAAAATCAAAGTAATCATTGTTAAAACTATGTTTCAGAGTCAAATAAGGAAATCACTCTAATACCATTTCAATAACGTGTTGTTACCTTTCTTTCAGGTCTTTAGGTAGAACAGAAATTGGGAATTGTCATTTTGATGGTATAGATTGAACATTTACCTGCAGTACAAATAAAGTCTTTTTTTCAAAAGATTCAGAGAGTTTGGAATCCATCCAAGGATCGAGACCAGTTTCATTTTTATATCTTTTATATAATTTGGAACAAATTTTATCCATTAAAACATCAATTAATTCAGCTTGCCATTCCAGAAATTCGGGTGTTAATATTTTTTCAGACTTGGTTTGTATATTCATGTTGTCATTTTATACAGTATGATTACAAACCAATTTAATTCTCTGCATTGGATATCACAAAAAAATATCTTATAACCTAACTATTTTCAGACTTCAAGTAACATGGTCGGGAGATGGCGGATCTACACAATTATTTCAGCATAAGCTGATATAAAATGTCAATTCCAGATGCTTCACATTTAATATAGTAAGATCCATCTTTATATTTTCCATTTATACTATTCTCTTCCTCATGATTTAACTTACATATTGGACATGGCAATTCAGCGTTAACCTCATAATAATCAATATTTTTTTTGCTCCTATATTCATAATATAAGTCAGGATATTGCTCCAATGTTTTGTTACAGAAATTAGCATGGATGTGAACTGGATTATTTTGTTTTTCAGGTAAAGTCTTTGTTTCGAATGGTGACATGAATAGCATACTCACCTCAGTTTTCAAGTTGGAAGATGCATCAGATACTTGAAGTTTAACTGGCATACTTACCTTAGTTTCCGATAAAATCTTTGTTTTTGAGTCAGAAATTTGAGATTCAACATTTTCTGTTAGATCATGTGCGTGTTCGCAATTGTTCACGCCTATACGTGTTGCCCAAATTCCAAATCATTTGGGATTTGGGACGCCAAAATCCCAAATTACTAGTATTTAGAATTTGGGATTTGGGATTTCGGCAAAAAATACTAATCATAATTTGGGATTTGGGATTTGGGATTTTGGCATTTGGGATTTTGGCATTTGGATTTTGAATTTGGGTGGCAGGTATAGTTCACGCCAATTAATTTTTGAGAGTTAGCAAGTTCGTTGGTATAAAGTTTTATTATATTTTGGATTTGCGTATTAGTTAATCTAGAAATAGCATCAGCACTATATGTAATTAACCCCGATTTTGTCTATACCTATCCCTTTAAACAATGTATAAATATTCTTAGCCTTTTGGGTTATCTTGCATAAATACTCTCTCTTAATACCAGGTAGATATGGCACCATCTCATCGTAAATTTGTGTTCTTGCCATTTGATCGCTAATATTGTTTTCCAAACTAATAGTTTTGACCTTTTTTTCGTATTCCTCACTATAGTAATACCATTGTATTTTTTCCTTCCTACTAGTTTTTTCGGCCTTATTGAATAAATGTGCTAGATAAGGTGTGGTACCTATAGTTAAATCACCCACATATGTCATATTTTTCTTAAATAAGTTAAAAATTTGTTTTCCAGATATAGAATACAAATTTTGTGGGATCATGGTGTCGTTGCTCCTAGCCACTTTGTGACTGCCTTCAGCAATAAATTCAAGTAATTTACTTATTAAACCCTGTTCTACTTTTTGATTGTATGAAATTTTTATTTCAGAAGATGTAAGTTCATTATTTCTTGCAACAATAGAATCCTGTTTTTAATTAGACGAAATATTCAGATTTTTCTTATAATTAACCTTCTTTGCTTTCTCGCTTACCTCAGTTTCCACTGTAACAGTTTTTATGATACATGATGAATTGGATTGTTCTGATGAATTATTATCCGAAGATAAATCTTGGTTATGTGATATTTTATTATTTTGTAATAGCTTTTTTTCTCGATTTCTTGCTCTCATCAAATTACTGATTCTTTCTTTTTCTTTTAAATCCAGAAAATCAACAACCTCTTTCTCTTCCGATGATATAGTTTTTGCAGGGATAGGAGATGTGGAGGTCTCCGATTCCTGGTGTATATCAGAATTAGATGTGTTAGATTTCTCATTACGTGAGACTATCCGTTCAGAGACATTAGAATTAACTTCGTGAGAGGAGTGTAGCTCCATTGCATTCGCAATAATAGTACTTTGCGTTTGCTCTAGATTTACAGAGTCAGTGTTATTGTGGCTATTAATTGATAGAGTAGGCATTTGTGGAGTTACTGATAAGACCGAAGAAACTGGAGACTGTGAAGCAATATTAGTAGTTCGATTTTGTTTTATTATTTGTTTTAGTTTTGTATTTTCGATCCTAAGATTAGCAATTTCTTCTATGATCTGTTTTAACTTGGTATTTTCAATCTTGAGGTTGGTAACTTGCTGTCTTAATAATTCAAGCTCTGATGACATGTTTGATAATAATTTTTATATAAGGCACGATTTATTTAAATTATCAAGTTAAAAAAATTACGTTTCCGTTCCAATTTGGAACAAATTTCAGAATTTCTATTTCTATTAGTTATATACACCTACATAACACGAAAAAATAATTCACGAAACACATGCACGATTGTTTATGATAAATCAACTGTCCGTTTTCTTTTTTAAGTTCTGGTATTCCCCCATTTTTTTGTCTAAGTGTATTAATCTCGGCTTTAAGCTTGGAATTCTGTTCTAATTTTAGATTGTGTATTTGCCATTGTTTTATACAAGATACAGATATGTTCAAAAGTTTGAATTAAATCACGAAAAAAAAATCTCATCATAGGAAAGCATGGCGATTCGTGTAATTCTTTATGCCGATCACTTTTGCCAAGAAAAAATCGTGTGATTAATGATGTAATTGTGCAATAGATAAATAGGGAATAAATTTTGGAAATCGCCATTTACTAAATTACTCAGGTCTTCGTTGACCGCAAAAAAAATATATTAATATTTATATTTATATTTTTGACGTTGCACTTTCCTCTTTATCTTTATTTCTTTTCGGAACCAATTACAATTTCTTTATCCTCCCACCCTTTCGAAAACTTTGACAACCCCCTCTACTATCTTGTACGAGCGTATTTGTTGTTTTCGATTATTGCTTAGTGGAATTTCTAATCACATTCTCACTATTTGTAGGGTGCCATCGGGTTGGGAATTATAGGCATTTGTTTGGCTCTGCTTGGTTTCTTTTGCACTGGAGATCTTTTTTACGCTTGTTGCCGAAACAAATACAATATTAAACTTCTTATTAAGACAATAGACAAAGGCAATCGACCTGGAACTGGAGTTTCAAGTGTTAAATTTTTTCCGCGAACTGAAATTGTAGAGCGTCTTAAAAGAATTCTTCAACCTGATGAAAATCAATCACATTATTACTTGATCTGTGGTGTCATGGAACCGGGAAAACTACAGTGGTCAGAACTGCATCGAGTGATGTTGATCATGGCGTCGTATACGTTGATATTCCTGCTCGTAATGAAAATTTGGGCGTAGCATTTGGGCAAGCTCTTAACTTTGCATTTGAAGAGCGAATCTCTTTTACAAATCAATTGATACGAAAATTGGGCAGTACTAGGAGTGAGTTTATTATCACTGCATTTTTATAACAGCAAGCATTTTTGACCCTTTTTTCTTTTTTGATAAACGATTCTGATGAACCGACGTGGTGTAGAGCTTTGGAAGCTTTTAAGCGTGGTGCTAAAGTGTATAAAGCAAAACGTGGCAAACCTGCGGTTATTGTTTATGATAATGTTAGCCAGATGGTTCCAGAGAATCAAAAAATCCTTGATACCCTCCAAGATGATGCCAAAAAAAATGCTGATGACCAAATATACATTGCGGTGTTTGTCAGTAGTGAAGGCGCGGTTACGAGAAGAATGAAATGTAATGATAGACATTATTCTTTGCTCTTGAAGGAAAAATGACTTATGATACAATTCTCATTTAGCTCGTAGTTCCTGGTCACGAGTAAAAAAGCCACCAATAGAAATCGGTGACTGAGATACATAAGATCACCGAAAAAGCGGAAGAATTATATCAATTGGTCGGTGGTCGCATTTTAGAGTTGAAAGATGTTGCAAATGATTTTTCGTCAGGTCAATCCATTGAAGGTATGAATAAGTTTCATAATTTACATAATTCTGCTTTGGATTAACTGCCTATCTCATTTTCCATAGATATCAAGGAGAAAAAATCACTTGATGCCTATAACCAATTGGATTCAGCAAAACTACTTGAAGATCAAAAACATCATGAAGTAGGAAAACGTGTAATTAATGCTTTGCTGGGCTCCAAAGAAATTAGTATTAGAGAATTTAAAAAATTATTTGCGAATGAAGAGGAATATGGTGAAGTTTTAGAAGCTAACGTGTTTGCATATCATCCATCAAGAAATACCGTGAGTTTCCAATCGCAATCAATAGAATGCTACATTCGGAAAAATTATGATGTATTTGCTGATCTAGTTAACCTAACCCCTTATAACGAACTCAGTTCTAATTACGCATCAGCTTCCAAATCATGAATATGTATAACAGAAATGAAATTTATTTTACATTATTCAACGTATTTTTTCAATGCACAATATGCAAATTAAAACGAAATATGTGACATGCTTTCAAGAAGGAGGATGTGCACGGCCTAGCATTACAAATTCTGACAATAAAATGCTTTATGATTATGTAACATTTTGGTATCAATATATCGGGATAAAAATACAAAGTTTTCGAGCTAAACTTCTTTGATGTGTTGATCGAATATCCACGGCAATAATTAATCCAACTATTTCTTAATTAATAAAAAATATGTGCGAGTTCTCATTGCTCACGCCGATCACTTTTGCCAAGAAAATTATTGAGGAAAAAATATTATAATTCGTGATACATTGTAATGATTCTAACCGGAAAATTTATTAGCTAGACATTTTATAATTCGTGTTACATTGCATACGTTTCTATAACTGGAAAAATTCTTTATTAACGATAAAAATACATGATAAATTATACATGATAAAAAAATACAGGATATCTATATACGTCGCTTTGCAATAAAATACGGGATAAAATACATGATATCTATATATAATAAATAAAAATCTATGGATAATCATCTCATGGTGTAGTAACTGTTGTGCTCCCTTCCTTTAATCTTTGAGATGATGTTATTGTACCATGATATAGCAGAGATAGGTTAAATTACGCAAAAGTAATAAAGTTTCTATAAATTTATATACAACCCTTCCATCTGAAAATTGTACTGGGATTTCAACAGACCAGAGATGATAATATCAATGTACATTTCTTATATCTCAAACAAGTAAATTTAAATGTAGCTCATTATCTGCAATTTGTATATCTACAATACCAAATTGATCCTTATCTGGTTTAAGAGTCTGGCGTACCCAAAAAAGTCCATCATTACATTCTCTCCATAATTTAACATTATCATCAATCTTTTTTTGAGTAGTACAAATTAAGTGGAAACATTTAACATACATAAGTTCAAAAATTGTTTTCCGATATTTTGCAACAAACATGATATCTGGACATCTCCCTATAAATCCATCCCCTTTTCTATTAGCACTGGCAACACTTTGTTTTTCTGATGTACTAATAAAAAAGGAATTACCAATAGAAAGATTTTTTAATGATACTCGAATTGTTGATAATATGATAGTTGATTGATACAGTATGTCCTTTCACTTAATGTTTTTACAAATTCAGAACTGAAAGTGGAATTGTTTCAAATATCTTTTAAAACACCAAGAATTTCTTTAGTTACATTTGCGATACTTTCTTCAGACTCTTTCCAAGTTCCATCATGAACTAATTTAGTATATATCAGTTCATCTTCAAGTTTATTAAAATCTGTTACAAACTCATCACACATTTTCTGAATAATAGCAAAGGATTTAGATGTCATTTTGTGAGTAAGTTTCTAGGACAAGTTTTGGAGAAATAATAATTATACCATTAATAAATGAAGCACATCAATTTATAACTGCTTTGTGATTATGAAACAAGTTCTAGTTTACCATAAATCCCTTTTTAAATTTCCAGACAATTGATTCACAAGCTCTGATTTGTCACTAATAACCTGGCTGGCCAAGAGATTTTTTCAATCCAAACTTCATAATATCCATATTAGATACACAAGAATACAAATGACAATATAGAGGACTTGAATCTCTTCTGAGTTTTCCTTTCTTCTAATTCTGAAAAAACTAAATTATTTTTTACTAGTTGTTTAATAAAGAAATTTTTAGTAACAATTTGGTTGTAGTATCTTTCACATATTGAATAATTTTCTAAAGAGTCAAGTAATAAGAATAATTCAGAAAAATACTTAGTTATTTCTATTATTTTTTCCATAGCCACCTTAGATAATACATATTGCCACCTTTTATTTGACTTAGTTTTATATTGTATTAATTGACTTTCCAGATATTTATGAGAAAAAAAATCAAATAGACAAGGTAAAAACTTTGCTTCAGGCTTTGAATTCATTACTAATCAGTGGTTTTAGAAGTGGGTATTAAGCAGTCTCTAAAAAAAAAACTAGTTTATAAAGGTTTGTGGATCCAAGTGAATTCTGAAAGTATGTAAGCAAAAAAGTATATTCAAAGATTATTTTTAGATTTTATTATAATATTGGTTCCAAGGAAGTTTTTTAAAAATGATTATCAAGTGTTAATCAAATTTTGAGGTGTGATCACAGATTATTCTAGAATTGATTTATAATCCCTTACTAAAATAGACTATATCTATTAAATACTAATAAAGTTCTAATAAATAATTAACTTTCTTGATAGAAAATACAAATCCTATATTTTTACTTAAATAATTTTATAATAATAGGGTTGATAAAATTTTTTTTAATAATAGTTCTGTTTGCTTAAAGTTTAATAATACATTAATAAGTACTTCAAATATAAATAAACTAAAAAAAATAAATCAATATTAGAATATATCATATATCATTAATTTTGATTTATTATTATTTACAATTGCTTATATATTTTCTGCATTTATAGTAAGCCATGATGTTTTTTATAATTAATCTTTTTTATATATGGTTTTTTAATAACTTCTTCAATTATAAAGTTTAAAGAAAATTCATCAAATAAAGATTTAGGCTCATAAGGGGTTTTATAACTTTATTTTATTTATTCTATTAAATAGTCTTAAAATTTTTTTTGATAGTTCTAACTAAGGAGAGTAAGTAAAAATATTAGAATTTTCTAAATTTAAACTTGAAATATTAGTATACACTCAAAAAACACATACTAAATTTCAAATTGTTTTTAATAACTGTTTATCAGCTTTTTTTAAAATTTTTGTATAGAGTTTAAAGCATATTAGTCTAATAAATTAATTATCATATACTGAAAAAAATGATAATCTAATTTTTAATTTCACAATTATTTTATAAACTTCCTCTATTACATTTTATGAAGTAAATATAAATCAGATAAAGTACACTATAATATTAAAGTAGTATAAATAAACATTGTTACCTCTTGAGAAAACTGAATACCCTTAATGTAATTAACTTCAATAATATTATAATACTCAGTAATATTGTCTTCATAAAATTGTTTATTATATAAATTTTCATTATTATTTTGTTTTAATTTGTCTGTATATTATACATTCACCAAATAAATTTATATATGTTATATATTTATCAAAGAAGTTTGTAAAAGATATTATTACATCAGGAAATTTAATTGGGCGTAAATTTACGGAAATATCACATGATCTACGGAAATTTACGCCTAAAAAATTTAATTTTTTAACTTCAGCCGAGATTTAGGAGACAGGGAGCGATTTTCTACTAAGATATTTCTAAGATAGATCGAAAGCCCTGGTTTTTGGCTACACGTAGATATATGTTTCATTACTATAGCATCGATATTCGCGGAGAAATTCACGTTTAAATTCAAACGTCCGTGAAAATTTATGACGTAATTTTTCCGTAAATTTTCGTAATTCTGGCGGAAATTTTT